TCCTTCTTGGGACCAGTTGGACATCCTTTCATTTGATTTTGATTGCCTGAAGGTGAATAAAGATGTTGTGACTGAATACAGAAGATTAAATTTTTTACATCAAAATGGTCTAAAAAAAAATTTTTTTTGATGTAATACGTGTGCTCATGAAATTTTAATCTTAGTTGTGTTGTGTGTGTACCACTCTTGTTGATCAAATAAATTCTTTTCTATATTGATAAAATGTATATAATCAATCTAAAAATAAAAGAATCGAGAAAAGGAACAAATAGAACTAGCTGAGTAAGTGTTTAACATAAGAATGGTGGTTATCGCCACTTGTCATCACAAAGTAAGTTTAATTTGTTTATAGATCCTTTATTCAAAATGTTATTATATTTTCTTCTAAAATAATTGATATTTATTTTAAAAAATATTTTTAAAGGTATATATATTCTGAGGTTGTCAATTTAGATAATTTAGATACATTTGAATTATCAAACTTCTAAAGCATCTGATGAATTAGATTTTAAAATTATTGATCAAATACAAAAGCATTTAATTGATTTGATTTTAAACAAAGAACAATGGATCCAAGAGAATTTTATCAACTATCATTAAGACATCAATCATTTAATTTACTTGATGATTTCCTTAGAAAATTAGTTATAAACAATCCATAATTACTCCTAAAGTCCAACAATTTCAAAAATCCACTTAGATTTCTCTTTTAAGTATTGCCGATCTTGCAATAAAAGTAATTGATTTGGAACTGGACAAATCGAAAATTTGGAAGAAAAGTGATTTTAAGGAGTTGAAAATTTTACTAGAAGATATTATCTCTTTAATTAGATATAAAGATATCTATATTGATGATTTTTTTCATAAAATTGTACTGTATCAAAATCTCTTTCTAAGGATTCATGGAATGTTTTAATAAGGTGAGTTAAAATAATCGTGTAGTTTTCCGCCAAAACTCATCCACCTATTTGAATTCCCGTGAGAATATTCGACATCCGCCAAAATTAAAATATCCGAAATTAATATTAATATTCAATTAATAAATTAAAATAATTTATTCACGGGAATTCAAATTGGCGGATGAATTTTGGCGGGAAAAAAATTTAATGGACCGTAGTAGTAGATTTTACATAACTTCTTTCCTTATTTATATTTACCACAAGCATATCACTGTTTATTTAGAAATAGAGGAAAAGCATGTTACTATTACTTAAATTGCATATTAAAAAAATTTGTGTTATTCATTTTATTTATTACTGCAAATTAAAAAATCAGGTTTTAATATAACAATAAAATGCACGTTATTAAAAATATCATTGATCTATTGATTCAGATAAACACTAAAATAAATCCAATGAATCATTATTCCAACCGAGATGCTAATTTTTCACAATCGATTATCGAAGTGATTTAAACTGATCGGCAAAATGTTAATAAAGAACGCGATCAATAGACTGTGAGTTATTAAGTAGTAGGGCGATTCTAATTATTGTACAATACATGAATTAATTAATTAATCATGTTCAACTTTCCGAAAGCAAACCAGTCGTATTAAAATGTTCGGAAATGTTCTCGTATTTGCAACATTTTTAGATTTGAGCAATTATAAAATGGTAGGCTTTATAAATTTAAAAAGCCATTAATATATAATATTCCGTCGCCGTATCATCCGATTCTAAACAAACCTCTGCAATGGCTTTTTTTTCGGTATCAACAAGAGAAATGGTTGAATCAGATGAATTTGAATCAATACAAAAATATACCCAACTGCTTCCTATAGAAGAAAATGAACCATTGAAATGATGATGTGATAATGAAAGCAATCAATTCCTTCTGAAAGGCTGTCGGCTGATGCATGAGAGCAAATCACTTTGTTACGAAACAAGCTTAACTTTGATGGTTCTCTAAATAAACATTGTCTGTCGGCTTGAAACTATAATTTATCAAGAAAATGAGGTTTTTTGGGGGAAAACAATTCTATTTATTTATATAAACAAATCAAATTTCAAAAATTTCAACAAATAAAATTGATCAATCAATCAATCACATGTTTTGGTTTTTTGTTTTTAAAAATTAAACATGACTACTCATAACATTTATCACGCTCTAAAGGTACAGAGTATACTTATCATACTCGTATTATCATCTCTCAAGATAATTTACACGTCTAACAAGAATATCTTGTATATTCTATTGATGATAAGTCTTTTTTCAAGTAAGAAAATTTTTTGTTTCTTAAAGATGATTCACATGATTTTCAATAATAAACGGTGATGATGGATATATACACACATTAAAACAACTAATGTGATAAAATATACTTTGGCTACAAGATTACACGCATATAGCATATAGTTTATTGTTATTATTTATTATAAAAATTCAAAGGGTATTAATTTTCAGATTTTGCACTTATTAATACTAATGTTTGTGAGACCGAGATGCACGATGAGCAACATTTTGTAATTTTTTATCATCATCATCATTAGTAATTAGCTTGCTTATTATTTTCTTTTTTTAATAATTTCAAATTTTAAAAAACGATAATAACAATGACTACAAATGTGTTTGTTAATGAAATTAATGACGGAATAGAAAGCATTGAAAAGACAATCAATAAAGCAACTATTTTTTTTGGATTTACTCTACAAGAAAGATAAAGAAGTGTATGCAGACTACATTCTAGTTGTCCAAACTAAAGCCTTTCGTTCATTAACAACAGCTGAAGAACGTCAACAACAAAAAATTAAACTTGAAAGCACTTTGAAACTACTTAAAAATAATCTCGAAAGAGCTGGTCTAGAGTATGAAACTAGATTAATTTCGGAGAAATTAATTTTATTCTTTATACTCTGTCCTCACAAACGATTAATTCAAGAATATAGCATTCAAGGTATTTATTTATTTATTTATGCACACACACATATACATATGTACATGTATATGTAACACACACACACACGCACTCAAATATATATATGCTATTTGAAATTGTTCAATTAATAATTTATTATAATAAATTGTTTAAACTGATTATTTTGCATAATTTAGGAAAAAAGATATTCTTGCTGCTGTTACTGATCATCATAAAGATAGAATCGATGTTTCTTTGAGTGATGCTAAAAGATTAAGACTTGTACATGATATTATTACCAGTTATGATGATGAATGCGCTGGCATCAACCCAAAATTAGATGGGTTCGAACTTGTTTAAATTTGAAAGTTATGCTCGGAAGTACAAACAATATTTTTGTGTTACAATAATTTGACCAAATTTGGGAACGATTTTCTTTTAATGTAAATATGTTCGTTAAGGGTGGAGTGATCGATCATATATTTTTATTTAATAAGAAATGATCAAAATAATTTTTGAGAGTAACATCACGTTTTATTTCACTTTGAAGGTTAATAAAATAAAAAACTACAAATAAGATTTATATAAATATATATTTCAAGGTTTTCTCTTCATTTCAGTACCAAAAAAACCAACATGTATTTTGTAGGTTACTGAGAA